CACCCACTTGGGGATGAGTGAGGGATTAGGAGTAAGTCATCCACATCCCAAAGACTCTACTAATCACATCTCCTATTGTCCCTTCAACAATGCAGCCACCCTGGAAGACATTTATGGTGTCCCCCCTAACCAACGTTTTAGATGAAGAAGCTGCTTGGATAAGCAGCGAAACGTATCAAACCAAAAGAAAAGAAGTCCAGTTGCCATGACTCAACCTCCAGATAATTCAACCTGGATGACTGAGAGTCTTCATCAACATACATGTTAATATACTGTATTTGTTTAGTTTTTATTTTATTTTTTTGTGCGGGGGGAAGCCACCTTGATTTTTTGACTGGCAACATATAAATCCCATGAATAAATAGGCTATAAGGGGTTGGCTAATTTATTGTTGAGTGGGCTATGCAAATCTAGCCTATTAGATTAAGCAAACCATGGTCCAGCTGACCATGGATTAACGTGATCTATAAACATAGTCACTGACTCCTTACTGCAGCCATCACATTCTAGAATTTCCAGCCTGTGCAACCAATTGTTTTGATGGCTGGAGATCCTGGAAGCTTTTGGTCACAATAAATCTGGAAGGTACCATGTTGAGAAGGACACTCTATAGAGTACATTCACAGTATCAAAGACTTGGAAGAGACTTCAAAAGTAATCTAGTTCAATCCTCTGATTTAGGAAATCCCCTGGTAAATGGCCACTAAGTGTTTGTTTAAAATTCTAATGACAAGTGGACTACCTTCAGAGGCAGTTTGCTCCACAATCATAAGAGGTTACCCAGCCAGGAGATTCTTTATAACGTTTAGTTAAAATTATCTTTCTTGTACTTTGAATCCAATGGTTCAGAACTGCACTGGAGGAACAGAAGGCAAAATATTCCAGCCCTGAGCACAAAATTATCCAGGATTATACTTCTAATCTCCCAGATGTTACTGATTAGAACCTCCAGAATTCTCACCACTGATCATGTTGCTAGGGTTGCTAGGCATTGTAGTTCAGGGCTGCAATAATTGAATAGTTTACAGCCTTTTTTTATCCGCACTATTGCTGAGATTTTCAAGATGTGGTCATCTTCTGTAGTGTGATTATCAGATCACACTGGGGGGAAATGGAGCTTGGATATGTTGTGAAATGATCAACATGACTCAACCCTTCATCTGACTGGTATTGTGAATTATGCTTAACTGATTAAATATGGGATTCCGCGGCAAATTCAAATCAAGAATTTTCCAAATATATGGCATCCATTTTAACAATAGCACCCATACCATATGCATGGTGAGTCTTAAGCTACCCGTTAATGTTCCTTTGGCATACTTTCTTTTTGAACCCTTTCAACCTAACTCTGATTTATTTGCTGACCCTCCTTTTCTTCTGGAGGAAGGAACTTCCATTTCTTTGCCAAACATACATTCCGGTGTGGAGTTGATGAAACTTTTAGATGCACAGAAGTGAAAGGAAGACAGATGACTCATAATCAAGGATGATGTGCAGAAGCCGGAAGTATGCTCAGAAACCAAGGGCGAGAGAGACAGAAAGGGTGACTGTAGTGTAGGAGATGAGTCACTCTCCCTTTTGGAGACTCCATTATCGCTGATGAATGGGGATGAAGAATGGGAAGCAAGAAATATAGTCATCCAACTCCTTCTCTGGGCTTACAGTTCCTTGCAATTCACTTTTTCTGTGCTATGAAGCACCTCTTTCCCTGTTCTTCCATGGCCATATCATTCTTCCTACTTTGATCCAGCCTTCCTCAAACAGAGGTCCTCCAGACCTGCTGGATTATAGTTCCCATTTCCTCCCATCAAATAGTTATTCACTCCACCATCCAGAGTATGGTAGACAACAAAGGCAGCAGCAAACAAGCTCAGCATGAATGGGAGAGGTGAAATGTTTGATCTCCAGTAGGACTGCTGTTGCTTTGTGCAATGTTTTATGCTTTCCATTTATAAATGATGTCATTATTTTTACTTTAAAAACCATACTATACTGATATACGTGATATTTATGTCTAACAAATACGCATGACCATTCAAATGGGGCATACCTCTGTACCCTTCTGCTTTATTTCTGTTTCACAGCAAAATGTCAAAAAGCAGTATGGCAGCTGTATTTCTTAGTGGCATCTGCCAGGAACAACCTAAACATATTTTCTGCCTTTATGCCCATTCCGATTTACAGAGGTACAATTTCTGTGCCATTTCCATTCTTCTCTGCCCTCTATCTCTTCCATGCCATTTGGCTAGCAGTACTGCAAAAATGGAGAAGCCATCCACAATCCATCAAGACAACCTATGAAATAATGGAACCCCACTTTCTCGTGAGTCTTCTATTGAAGAGCAGGAAAAAGGGGCTATGGGTTTTCCTTACCACCCCAGGAATTAACTGCCATGCCTAAAAGCCTGTGTTGTGCAAAGCAAGCTTGAATTCTCACATTTTTGCATATGTGAAGGCACAAAGTCTCATACCTCACAGAGAGATTCTTCACTCTCATATACAAGGATTCCCACATATTTGGCCACCTTGCTGTAGAAATGAACAAACATAAATGCCCCCCCCCAACACTGCATCTGGCCCTGAAGAGGAGAAGCCTTTTGCAATAGGATGAAGTTTCTAACAGTCTCTTTCCTGTGACTTCAGCAGAAATTTCACTGACACCTAATTTTAAAGAGGCCTCACCTGCCTGTAAGTCACTCCCAACTCCTCAACCTCCTGTTCTTCTTCCAGCCTGTTGTCTCCATCTTCATCTTTCACTCGGAGACAGCCTTGCTCTTTGATTACCTCTTCCCTCTCTTCCTCATCCTCCTCGTCCTCCTCCTCTTCCTCCTCTTCCTCTTCTTCCAAGCCATCCTGTGTTCCCTCACTTTCTATTGACCCATCCAACACAAAAGGCCCCTGGCCCAGGCCCAAACCAAGGCCCAAAGGCTCTTGTTGTTCCGTTAGTTCCTCTTCTGTTTCTTCAGGGTGGGTGGTAGGTGGCCGTGGCAACTCACCAGTCTTAGTGATTATCTGCAAGAGGGGAAAAATTAAGAGAGAAAAACTGATTGCACTTTAATTACCTAGTAATTTTGAGGTCAATAGTAGGAACCTGGCAGCCCAGGGGGCAAATTAAGTCAATTTACAGCAAACACACAGCTCTGCTCTTCTGGTGACTTTGACTCTCTGAGCCTCCTTTTCAGTTCTCTTAGCTGCTTACAGGACAAAGAGGGAACTGAGAGAGATACATATGCTGTTCAATTTCCCCATTCTAAACAGAATAAAGTAGCTGGAAGATTTCAGTCCCAGGGAGTTGGGATACCAGCTAACAGCTACTTCCTTCATATCCAAATGGATTACACAAACATTTGCCTGAGCCATTTCTTCCTTTACCCACCTTTCCCAGTTGAATCTGCTGCTGTTTCTGCTTCTCCAGGAAATGTTGGTGCTGTTGCTGCACAACCAAATGTTGCAATGCTTGGGGGCTCTGAGGCAGTGGGGACGACTGGGTGCGGCTCAGCGGACGATGCCGAGGCAACTTGCTTACAGTGCGCAGGTTGGAGGGGATGCGTTCCCCCGTCACTAGAGGGGATTGGCCGTGCAGAGGAACTGTAATGAAAAGACCAGGCATTATCGTGAAGACGCTTCCAGAATATTGCATCACATCACATTTAAAAATGAAGAGCCATAAGCCATGTAACTAGATCTCATCTTTCTTTTTATTTACATGGAGGTATTAGTAGTATAGCAGCTTGAACGTGCACACAGTTTCACAAAGTTCATATTTTGATTTGCCCAAAAAATCCAAAAGTTGGCTGGGTGGCTGTATTTTGCAGAGAGGAAAGTTATCTCAAAGCTGCAATTAGAAAGGCTTGCCTACAAGGGCGCCTATCGCTGCCACTGACCCAGCGGTGGCTTCTATAGGAGAAAGAATGGGGTAAGATGAAAGATAAAATTGAATTTGCTTTTAGCCAAAGGCCTTTGCAATCAAATACACAAAATAATCTGAAGTCTAAAAATGTACCAACTTCTTCATTTAATTACTCTAAAACCAATAAAAAACTAGATTTCAAAACATAAAACTGTTGCGCACACTCATCCCCTTTGCAATCAACTCCAGTTCCAGAGAGAAAATCTGCTTGTACTTTTCTGGCTGCTACAGCCAATTTTGCAATCTACTCTGTAATGAAAGCTTTTATCCGTCAAAACTTTTATCACTATTTCAGTATCTGTGAAGCTGTTTCATTGCTGAGTAAGACAGGACGAAAAGTTCCTTCTTAGATTAACATATATTTGGCAGGAGGACAAGTAACATGGATGACCTTTGATTATTCCATTACCACAGATACATTCATGGTTAAGCAAGGGAAAGTAGGAATATCTGCCTTCGAGGAGAGCTGTGGGCATGCGCTGAAATCCCAAGTCAATAAATGCTCCCTACAGTGAAGACAAAAGTTAGGTTTTTGAATAGGATGGTTTATCATAAATGGTGTGGAAAGCGATATACTACCTGGAAATATGTGACAATCACAAACTCATAATCATAAATCTGACTATTTAGGTTGGCTCTGGGTTCTCCATTCAAAGCAGTCTTAATGGAATACAGATCTACTCTTGATTGACTAAACTGTGTCCATCTTCCTGATTTCAACAATTCTTCCTGATAATATAAACTAGGTAAGCTATGTTCTGCATTTAAAGCAACCTCTCTCAGTATTGCAATACTGATTCATTAATACTTGCTGCTGTCAATGATAAAGCTGTTTCCCTTATAAAGTGCTGCAGCAATCCTTAAAAAAAGGATTCTGCTGACAAATTTAATTTGTAGAATTTCAAGAGCCTTGTTATTGCTTGTTCCCCAGACCTGAGCCATACAACAATGGATCTACACAGACTGCTGGCCCTTGGTAAAAAAAAAAAAAAATCTTGATTGTATCATATTAGAGATTGCCATTTTAATGTCCTGATTGTGAGAACTTAAAGTACTTTGCTTTTGATATATACTCCAGATATTTAAAGGAGCACATTTGTTCTATCTCCTGTCCTCTTTGCGCGCTTTTGATCTCTTGCCAGAAACAATCACTTCAAACGTTTGATTCCTGATTTCATTTTCTAGCAGAAATTACTCATTTTGACCAGCAGCCCATTAAGATAATTCTGTTTCAGAAGAATTATGTAGTACCCTGTTACTGAATAGCAACCAATAAAAAGGAGCTCAGTGCCTCATAAGTGAGCTGCCTCTGGTAGGTAGGGAGAGCCTCCATGGGTACATGCTTGGTCAATTATCAGCACTGCCCAAGATAGATACGGGACAATGATGTCATTGACTTTCATTGAATGCTACACAGCGGTGCCCCACCTACTCCATCTCCCCTTATTTCTCTGCTGCTTCCAGCAACACTGGCTGAGTCCTACATTTTCTATCCCATGCCCAACCCTTGTGCGAGCACTCACTATGCTAACTCACATCTTGACCTGCTCACCAGCAATTAGTGTATTCTGTTGTCGAGCCTGTTCCAGAAGCAGGACGTGTTGAAGCAAGGAAGCGTGCCCGTGATTGTTGGTCTCTCCTTCAAGGGCCACCCCCAGAAGGCAACTGGGAATAGACGACATGCTGAGGAACTTGCTTGTCAAGGCACCTCCCTGGCGCAATGACTGGATGGTCTGGCGCTCTGCTTCCTGCTGTGTGGTTAGGTTTGGGGAGGCCTAAAGCAGAGAGACAAAGAGGCTTGCAAGTGCCACAGAACTCCCGAGTGCCAACATCCAAGCTGTTTTAATCTACTATCCACTTCCTGCACTTCCCTATTCCTGAGGAACCAAACTTTCCAAACAATTGTTGAACCCTGCAGGGCAGGCATACTCAGAAAAGAAGAACCATTTAGATTTCTGGAAAGATAAAGATATTTATTGGTGACAAGGTAAAGTACAGAATCATAAAAGCCTGTTAAAGCAATTCTCCAGTTCAACGTATACGTTGCATAATTAAGGTGGAGTTACTCTGAGTCACTTTCTCACGCTTACCCCCTCCTCTGGGCTGGGGTGTCTCTTTGGCAATAGTTTTGTCTTCTCCCCTATATTCCCAGGGCCTTCTAGATACTCCATCATAACAATATTCCCACAGTTAAGTATTTTCGAAATGATGCTGTTGAATTACAACTTCCAGCATCTCTCGCCCCTGCCCGATTCGGGCTGGGGCAAACAAGAGTTGTTGAAGTCCAGGAATATCTGGAGGCTACAAATTCCCCACTCTTGCCTTAATCTGATTAATGTTGTGAATGTTTATGGTTGTGATTCATCTTTTATTGTGTATTACCATAATCATGCTAAGTGTTCAATAAATGGAAGGGAGAGATAAAAGCTGAATAAAGAAATATCTAGAAAACTTTGTCCTTCCCCCTACATCCCATAAATTCATATTAACCAGGTTCTGTAGTGCACTGGAAGGGTCTACCTCCTGCAGCACATTTAGGAAAGCGTGATGCTGAAGAGGGTCCAAGTATGGAAAGGGCGTCTTTGGGTATTCCCAGCCTCATGAAGATATCACTGGATAGCCTTAAGTATATTAATTCCCCACCCTATCTTTAGTAATTAGACCAATTATCTCCCCTTATTTACCCTTTCTGCTTCTGTCATTTCCCTTGTGCCTACTTCATACTAAAAGCCCCTGTGGTAGAGATCCATTCGACCTATTTTTTGTAAAGCTCCACATGTAGCTATTGCAATTATAGTGATTTTAGGAATAAGAACAGTAGCAGAAGTAGGAAAACTCAGGCTCCAGAAGCCTCACTGATTTGGGAGAGCACTTTTTCCCTTACCTGATTGTTAATTTAGGCTCCCCAAAGTCCTCCAAACTGATTTGATTCAAATGAGGGTAATCCAGAAATACTTTGCACCGTGAGAGAACAGCAGTATCCAGCGGACATATATTGGGGCATGGTGACCTAGCACAGACTAGCAGTCCACCACATGACTAGATTCAAGTTCAGGACTAGACTAATTAATAGAGGTCTGGAGAGCTTGCTAATTTCAACTGAGCCTGGATGTCTGGAGCACATACATAACTATAAAGCTATTTGCTACTCTTGGATGAGGAAAACAAATCACAGCAGAGAATAGTAGAACAAGAAATCTGCCAGTTAGCTATTTCTAACTTCTGACACTGAAAATAGACAAGCTGTCAACTGGGCATAACTGTCACAGGTCAAGTCCTGAGCCAAATTTGGTACATGTCATCAGAAAGAAGTAATAAATAGGACACAGCTTGGCACCAGCTGGTTGTGAGAAAACAAAACCCAGAGACTAGTGCTATACTAAAAGCAGAAGGAAGAAAGGAAAGAAGGGAGGGAGGGAGGAATTATATATAGTCATTGGGCTGGCTCATCAAATACTAGGGCCTCTCCCATTGTACTGGAAAGAAATGAAGCAGATCTGGAGCAAGGGCTGGGCTCAGGCGTTAATACAGAGGTGCAAAATTTGTGGTCCCAGGGGTACCTGCTGCCCCCAAAAGCGTGGAATGAAGTCTCCAAAATTATTCCAAAAGTTGCCATCAGAATTATAATTTTTAATGTGTTAGGAAAGGGAAATGGTTGAATAAATGATTAAAATTACTGTACTAAACTTTCATTTTGATTAACTTTAAATTAAGTTCTTAATTTGAAAAAATTTGGAGCGAATCTCCTGCATGTCACTGAAAGTTTTTCAGACTATAAAGCTGTATTCCTTTGCTTTAGCATCTTCTAAGAGTTGGAGGCCAGAAGATTAATAAAGAGTTAGAATAAAATGACGATGTTGTAATGTTGTTAATGATTTATCCCTCTTTGATCATTCTGACTCTAAGTGGTCATACAAATAGTTCTTTACAGAAATTGATCAGCAGCTGGTTAAAGATAAAACGTGCAGAACTGACTATCCCATGTTACTGCAATGGCCACTGCCATAAACAGAACTTCAAACTGGATGAATATATGATAAAAAGAAGTATCTTTTCACTTGAGCTCAACTCCTGGCAATTATGCAGACATCCAAGTTGTTTTTCTGGCAACAATACAGCAGTGGTTTTCCCCTGCTTCTTCTAGGATTTTTCCTTTTAACTTCCAAGTCTAGTTGACAGCCCTGGTATCCCCTAGTGGTCTCCCATCCAAGAACTAATCAAGCTTGATTCTGCTTAACTCCTGAGCCAAGATAAGCTCTGACAGGTGCTGCCACCTCCTGAAACGAATACAGAGAGAAGGGAAAAACACAAACCCTGCATGCTAGCTATGCCAATTAGACATGAACTCCACATTTTGAAATGTTTGAATTTGCTATATTTATACTAGTTAAAAACCCATCAAAATAAACTACTATATGTATTCGCTCTTTAGCTTTTCCCTTTCATGACAATAGGACTGTCAATATTCCGGTATGGCCACATTTAATATGGTGGGATGTGTGCAGTGAGTGGGGTGACATGAGGCTTGTAGGGAAGGTTCTAGGAGCAGCTTTATTTTTGAATGGTGATATCTTACTGGAGGGCCTACACTGTAGTTTTCATTTATTCAATTTCATTATTTCATTTGTTTCATTTCATTTACTTGCTATCTCCATATCTACAAATTTCCATAAAGTTTTTGGGGCAGCCCATACTCACATTGAGGTGTGAATTTGTCACTGTGACAGTAGCCTGGAGTCCTAAGGAGATATTGGGCAGTGATGGAGAAGTGTATAGGCTGAGTTGGCTCGCTGATCCATCCACGGTGACAGCTTGGTGCTGGGGCAACATCTGCTATATAAAAGGAAAAGAAGGATTAGGGGACAAGGAAATGGAGAGGGGTAGATAAGACAATACAGATAAATAAGAATATGTACTGTATAGCAAGAAAAAAGACTTGATATTCTCCTAGCTCCTTAATGTGACCTCATTAACAAGGCAAGACAGAGCAGACATATATCCTGGGATATAAAAACCCAAAATACTTATTTTCTTATTTTATTTACATAGTACTGTATATCCAAGAAACAAAATAGTAAATAGCAGGGGGATTAATGTCCCTAAATAATAGGCAGTTAATATACAGTCTAGATGTTTCGGGCTATGCTGGCCAAGAATTATGGGATTTATAATCTGATACATCTAGCAGGCAGAGTTCGAAAGACTGGTATAAGCTTTTCCTCTTTAATTAACCTCTGCTAATCAGAGGAGATTTACATGCGCTTGATAATCTGAGAATCAGCCTAGCAAGAAATTATGGTTGGTGGCATCAAAACTCATTGAGAAAACAAAGAAGATTAAAATTCCCCAATTCTTTTCTGAGAAAAGTTACCCGCGAAAGAAACCCGAATTCATTTTTGTGCCAAATCTAAACTTGGACTGGATTGGGTCTCTAAGCTGTATACAATCATACAGCTGTCATTTCAAGGCAGCTGGGGCTCATCTCTTGTAAAGAGGTATTCATTGCTTTCTGGAGCCATTCATTTCTAATCCCTTAGACGCATGAAGGAGGACACAAGTGGTTGGTTACACTTCTCCAAGTATTCTGTCCACATCCTCAGTCTGCATCAATTGAAAATGATCCCACCAAACTAGACTGGACACTGTTTTGGATTATTCATGTAATTGCATCAATGATGATGAAGGATTCCAGCAAATATTAATTATTGTCCTTAAAGTGTGTTATCAACCTGTCACAGGAAACCACTACCTCTCTTCTAGCATTTGATTTTAATCACTTATCAGCTGGGCTGAACAACTACCAAAAATGCAATGAAGGCAGCTGTTGCTGTGTCCATCCTGTTTCACCCTATGTCATTCTTCTCTGCTGCAGCTGGCCTGGCTGCACAGTATCGGCCACTAACACAGTAGATCCATTCTCTTTCTCCTGGTGCTACAAATGCAATGCTTCACCATTAGCAGTTAGAGCACCCTCTTCCTCAACCCTACGCTTATTACAAATAGCACGCCTTATTGGAAAATGGGAAAGCGGATGACCCACTGGGAGTACATGTTGGTATTATTTTTAAAATAAAACTGTAATCATATGCTCCAATTTGATATAGAATGGAAGTCAGCCTTTCTTGCATACATGCACACACACACACATGCATACATATATACATACACTCTGTTCCAAACTGTTATGTATACATTAACTGCATAGTGCATAGATTTGCTATCTGGACTGTTCCTGGCTCAAGATAATGTTAGAGATTAAAGTAATTAAATTCCTCATAGACTTTTTCAAAATCTTTCTTATAGATCTAGATGATGATGATGATGATGATGATGATGATATTATAAGGGTATTTCAAGCAGGGAATAAGAGCTTGGAACAAGGAGCTTAAATGACATTGTTCTTTGCAATGTCCAAAAGCAGAACTGTCCAGCAGATGGTGCTTTGTTTTCTAACAATGGGAAAACACGCTTCGGAAATCTGCTGGGGGAAGGGACACTGAACCTGTCATGTAGAAAGTAATTATAGGCCTTTCTGCTCTGCAGCCCAGCCCAGCCCAGCCCAGCAGAAGTCAAGGTGGAAAAAAAAAAAAAAAACCTGCATTGAGCACAGTGAGAGAATGGGAATGCCCCAAACATTTCCCCCACAGAAACAGGATAAATACTAAGTGAAAATCAGAAGAGGATATTCAGCTTTGCTTTCTAGAGAGAAAACAACTTCCCTCCCCAGGGAGCATTCAGGTTGTTACCAAGAAGTTTGGCACTGTCCATATAAAGACTGCATAGAATCACACGCTTCTCTTGGAAAGGAGAGGAAAAGCAATGTTTTTCTTCACAGACTTCCTATCACATTAAGAGCTTTTGTTAAACAGAAATAGTCAATGTGTGGATTTGCATAAATTCAAATAAACAAGTAGCAGTAAGAACTGAAAAGCACTTTCAAAACTACTCTGAAGAGTGTACTAGTAAAAAAAGAAAGTGACTTTGTAGTAAGCAGGCTAACCATTTCTCTTCACAGTGAACTCAAGCAGGGGGTCAGAAAGGGGATATGGGTAGCTGTTTATTCACTGGAAGATAATCTTTTATCACCTATGGCAGGTATGGGTAACCCACAGGCCACATATGCCAGCTTGCTGCCCAAAATTGTGCTGCCAAATCTAACAGCAAAAAGACCAGATTTGGCAATGTGATTCTATCTATCTATCTATCTATCTATCTATCTATCTATCTATCTATCTATCTATCTATCTATCTATCTATCTTTACTTTTCTTTTAAAAATGAGGGTGGAAATTAGAAAAGAAAGTTCTGAAAGGTAAATCACACTCTTCCCAGTAATTTCCTCCCCCCAATAATATTTTTTTAAAAAACTGAAAAAATGTACCAAAATGGCATAGCCAACATTCGGCTGCAAAATGGCCAATTTTCAGTGGCAACATTTACAGATAAAATATGTAAATAAATATATGAATGGAATAGGTTGCCATGGGGCAAACTACTCCCCTACCCGCACAAATCCCATCCAAGAAATAAGAAAAAAAGTTGAAACTTTTTAGCCCTTTATCACTGGAAGAGAAGTTTCAACTTTTTTTCTGATTTTATTTTTTGTCACTGGACATTCCCCTATAGCGTGTCAGGAGGTTGAGCTCTAGCCCCATCCAAGCAGAACAAGTAGCCTGACAAATTCTTAAATGCAAAGGTGGCTCTATTCATCCATTTATTCAGCCTAACCTAACACATATGAGGTACTTTCCCAAACCAGCTCTCCTGTCTAATTCAAGCAGGGGTTTGACTTCTTGAACATCATCAAAATGGAAGCTATATAATCTCCATGCCAGGGGGGTGGGAAAGAAATGCTGTTCCAGAAGGCAGGCATAGAAAAGGCATTCTTTCTTGGTCCCATAAAATGACAATGTTTAATCAAAGTGACCCAGAGCATGCCCACTCTGCTGACTGTACAGGATGGGCAGAAACACGGGTAATGAGCCCTATGCCATAAAGAGCTTTATAGGTGGTAACCAATATCTTGATTTGCACTCAGAAGTCAACTTTCAACCAGTGCAGTCCCCAGACCAGTGGTGTCACACATTAGCATACCGGGGCACGCTCATTTTGGATCAGCTGTAGCTTCCGGCTGGTCTTCAAGGGCATTCTCATGTACAGTACATTCAATAGTCTACTTGTGAGGCGACTAAGGCATGAGTGATCATTTGGAGGGCCTCCCAATCCAAGTATGGATACAACTGGTATACAAGATGAATCTGTGCAAAGGCCTATTATATGTGCAAAAATGAGACTCTGAAATACCCACAATGGAGGAATGGTTGGTGAAGATGACAGAACTAGCAGAAATTAACTTGTTTGATTAAAGATCCATAACTACATTTATTAATGACTGGAAACCCCTTATGGACTTTTTGCTGAAAAAAATAGAAAAATGAACTTGTGATTTATGGGTTTGAGGATTAGAAAGGTAGACTATAGAAAGAAGGAAATTATGATGTAACCTTAGAGAGGGTAAAATATAAATGCATTTATAACCGCTGTCAAAAAGATCAGAAACCACTTCTTCATAACCTTTTCTTCTCTCTCTCTCTTTCTTTCACTTTCTTTTGTTCTTTCTTTTTTCATTTTCATTTTCTTTTTCTATTTTCTTTCTTACTTATTCACTATTCATTATTTTCTTTCTTTTCTAATGTTTGTATTGTTTTTATCTTGTTGAAAATTTCTTCAATAAAAGTTATAGTTAAAAAAAAGCTTAGGAAGACAAGTAAGGCATGTTTTACCCCGTTGTTATTCTCAAACTTATTCTGCGAGGCTAAGGCAATGACAGGCCAAGTCTATTGGAGTGCCTCAGATCAGGGCACCCATATGAGCCCAGGTCTCTCTGGCCCAAATCCCAACACTCCATGGTTCAAAGCAACAAAGAGTGGGCTGAATATGTAATTGTGGGAGACATTCGCTATTGGCAAGGAGAGGCAAAACTGTTGAAAAACAGAACCAAACCAATTTGGCCCACTGAAGACAAAGGGAAGGAAAGAGACACAGCAGCATGCTTTCACCAGCCTTACCTCAGTATGTATATTAGGCACTGACCCAGTAAGCCCATTTTCTGTGATGGCGCTGTTGGAGCTATTTGGGGAGCTCGGGCCAGATCCAGGAGCACTGTTGCACATTGAAGACACTGCAATGAAATTTGGGGGAGGGGGAGAGATTGTCACCGTGTCAGTCCTTGAAGTGAAGTCCTTCCACTAAATTAAGATGCTGTTGTGCCCAAGTAGGCTGTTGAAAATTTCACTTTGTATTTTGAAGCAGAATCAAGTTTCAATTCACATGATAGCAAAGAAACATTGGGAAAATGTATGTTAGTAAGGTAAAATTCAGTTGTTGGTTTGGTTTTCCTTTCCAACAGAACAAAGCACCAAATAATGCTAACACACAGTAAAGGACTGTGCATCATGGTACACAGCATACAATACAGAATGTACACAGGCTGCATTAAAAAAAAAAAACCCTAGTATTCCCATGTCTTCAGTTCATAAGGCTGTTACACCAGGCTCAACTGAAAAGTAATTCTTTCAAACAAGATTCTCTCAGTCTTCTTTAACAAGATTTATTGAAATGAAAGGGTATGATTACAGAATTTCAGCAACTAGTGATATCCAATTTTACTGACATACATATACATTTGGGTGGAGATTTCCTTAGTTTCTTTCTAACAGCATTCCAATAAACTGATGAAGAAGTGGTTCTATTCACTAATAATGGAGACGCTTGCAGGTGGCTGTTTACAATATGGTTTCCTGAAACCATATCAATGTGTATTGGCCATTACCTCCACTTGCGATACTCTAGTCACAATGTTTAGACTTCCTTGTTTCAGAATTGAGAAAAAAGAGAAGAGAGGAATCATGTATGCAAGGCATGACTCCACCACACAAAAAAGGATGCTTTCTTTTCTGCCCTAGCTTTGTCTTTGAAATTTCAAATTCACCTTTCTATATTAACTACAAATATAGAAGAGAAACCAAGATAACTTTCTCAGTTAAAATAAAAATGTCTTCAGAGTGTTCTTCTACAACACAAACTAGATCGCCACCAAATAAATTACCACTGTCTGGGTTATCAGTGGTACATCTCAGATGAATGCAGTGCTAAATGCATCACATATATATTCATTCATTCCTGTGCTTTTCAATCTGCTCTTAAGGTCACCCACCCCTCCTCTTCCATTGCAATATATTTTAAGGATTCTTTGAATAATTATCACTTTCTTGATAATTTTATGGTCATACTACTAGATCAAGACTAAACTAAACATATTCATACATATCTTCCTCTTTCATGTTCTTAAAAAGGAAATTTATCATAATTCTCATGACATTCACATTCTCTGGACAGAGTTATTGTTTTGACTTGATTTCTAGTCATTATCCGAATTCACATGCTGCAATAGTCTATACAGTAATGCAATTTACTTAGTATTAGTTTAGTGTTATATTGAAATTTGACAGTATAGTTGTCAGAGGGTCTAAGGACTGGATGCATGCATCAATAAACAGCTGTGCCTAGTCCTGGATTCCCATCCTACACCATAAAACTTCCACAATGACTATGCTCAAGCAAACCATATAATGGCTTAATGCAGTATGTGAATCTAGCCATAGCTAGTTTCATGGTTTACTTCTAATTTGTTTTTGAGCCTCATTAATATCTCTAATCTATCTGTACAGATCCATAAGGTGGAAGAGGCTAAAAATGGCAGGAAAACAAACTGGAACTAGCCAAACAAACCATATTTATTTTAATTACCTGCAAAACTAATTCAGGCTTGCTTCTAGCTTTTTCACCAATCCATGATTAAAATAAAAACATGGTTTCAGGTGATCACAATGTAATTTAATCAGAGTGCTCTGAGTTAAGCTATCACTGATCAATGAAGGTAGTTTAAAGCTCCACGTTTCAAGCAGAAAAGAGAAAGGAAAGTGAGGGAAAATTGTACAAGGCTCTCTGTAGTTCCTTTCTTTAGGAAAACATGGTTTTCCAATTACATTTCAACAAATCATTGTTTCATCTATTTTGCCAAATTCCTTCCTCAACCCTGGTGTTTTGACCCCCAGTGTCCCATTTCATCAGCCACTTTATAGCACACAGACTATACCTGTGCATATTTTTTTTCTTTTTTATCCAGTCTTTTTTCTCCCTTCTTGACATACTCAGGGAGAGGACTGAAGAATGGAATATTGGAATATTTCATCCACCTTTTTTCAAATGCAAATAGTACTTGCCCTTAGCTGGGCTAAAGTCCTTTCTTACCTGTGATTTCAATTGCTCGTTTTTTGAAGGTGCTGATGACCGTCCCATCTTTCCTTCGCAACAGAGGACTGCTTCTCCTCTCCGCCACCTTCTGTTTTAATCGTGAGCGCACTTTCAAATTGGGTTCTGAGGCTGAAAGGAAGAGGCAGGCAGAAAGGAAATGCAAGGTGGTCAGGTTTCTACTGAAGCAGACAGTCTTAGGCAAGGAAGCAAATTGTGGAGAGGGGAAGAAGCTAACTGCACCTACACTTACCAGATCAACTATACTGCTTCAAGAATGACACTTTTTATTACAAATATATTTATTCTGTATTTCTGAAACATAACAATGAAACACCCATTCTCAATACAATGCCCTCTAGTTATTTCAAATGCCAACTCCAGCCAGCACAGCTAAATGTCAAAGTCCATGATATCTGGAAGGCACCAGGCTCAGGATGACTCCATTAACAAATAAAGAATCTGAGCAGAAGACACAGACATTCTTCAGGTGATGGAACAGGATATGCAGGGCCTGTGTAAGTGGACGCAACTTATTCTCATTTCTTTATCCTCCTCTGCTTTGTTAGGTTATGCCTGACAAAACCCTTCCCCCCACCCCCCCACAGGATGCCAATTTAAATTATTTTGCTCCATGAAATCTGGAAGATGTTCTATATACACAACTTTTTCTACTCAACTCCTATGCCTTTATAAAAACATAGGAGGAGCCCTGCTGGGTCAAGCCCACGATCCATTCAGTCCATCCACTAGCCAACCAAATGCATTCAGGAAGTTCATAAAGATAGACAGGAGAGTTATTGTCTTCTCCCCCTGTTGCTAGCAGCTGTCTGGGATTAAGGAAGTAGTGAATAGCCATTAGGACCAGCAGCCACTGATAGCCTCATCTTTCATAAATTTGTTCAGTCCCCTTTGAAAATTTTCTAAATTAGTGGCCATCATACCATCTGATAGCTGCAAATTCCAGAGTTTCACTAAACACCATTTTAAGATGTCTTTCAAAGGTTTACAGTCAATCATACAATGCCAAGTATGCTATTACCTTCTTTTATTCAGATCCTATCATTTTAGAGACTATTATAGAAATGTGGCAGTTTTCTCTGCATCATTCTTTCAAGACCTTGATTCTTTCAAATGGTGTATTTCCTATTTGTAAGCAAGAACTTGGCAAGATTCCAATAACCACAAAATATAACCTAACAGACTGGGGGTGGGGAGAACAATAGCTCAGCACATGATGGTTCATGGCTTCTCCAGTTAAAAAGATGAAGTAAGAGGTGATGGAGAAGATTCTTTACTACCTTAAGACCCCAGATACGTGCTGCCAGTCACTGGGTTAGGAAGGCAAACAGCCAGACTGAGCATAAGGCAACTTCCTATGTTCCTAAAATTTCCTGATTTCACATAGCAGCTGGGCTGTTTTTTTCCACATAGTTTGACTGTAGAGAAGCTTTTGCAAAAACCAGCTGAGCTGTTACACAATTAGCATCCAAACAGCTGATTTCTTGCAAGGGAGCACTGATTGCATCTAAAAATAGGTTGTTTTTGAAGCCAGTCCTCATGGTAGGTTTGTCTAGTTCTCTACTGTAAGTTTAGAATTCTTATCATATTTAATATTTTAGCAGAATGAGGATTTTGTACACAACCTTGATTTTCAGTCAGAAGCTGGGCTTTAACATTGTAGCTGCAGTATTTTGTAAGATACTTGAATGAGTATTCCTTTCTTATTTGTAGTTCTTCAGATTAAATCAATCTTTCTCTTTCTCTTTTTCACCCCCAGCCTTAGCTTTTACAAGCTGGTACATTTAAGGTGCAGAAAGCCATACAAATTTACCCCCCCCCTTTTTTTTGTTTATTCTACAACCACTGATGTTTGCTAACCAGTTTTCCGGAGTGGAAAGTCATCTCTGCTGTCATAAGTGCCGAGTAAAGGTAGTTTGCAAGAGGCTGGTGTTCCCGGGCTTCCTGTTTGGGGAGGGGAACTCTGGTCCAATGAGGTATGATGAGCCCCCCTGCATAAACCAGAAAAACCAGGTTATCAAGATTTAGATAAATATGGCTATATGAGCCAGGTTATCAAGATTTAGATAAATATGGCTATATGAGCCAGGTTATCAACATTTAGATAAATATGGCTATATGAGTACACTAATCAGCATACAGGTAGTCCTCACTTACCGGCTGCCTCATTTAGCAACCATTCAAAGTTACAACAGTATGAAAAAACCCAGCTTTGCGACCAATCCTCACCTTTACAACAGTCACAACATCCCACAGTCACGTGATCACCATTCGCATGCTTTGCAAGTGGCTTGCAAGAAGCAGAGTTAATGCAGAACGTGGAAGTAAAATTGTAAGCCACAGTCACATGATTTTCCACTTAGCAACCACGGCACTTAGCGACAGAATTGCTGATCCCAATTGTGGTAGCTAAGCGAGGACTACCTGTACTTCTTCCTGAATCCTTCTGCTCCCTCCATTCATAATGGATTGCATTTGTACCTTATAATTACTTGGCATTTCTTTACATTTAATTGAGTGAAAAGGGCAATCAGAGCAGCTGTATACTCAGGAGTGTATACTCACTAGTAACAGATGAATTCAGTCATCTATCATTCATTTTATCATCCAACTTGCTTTTTCTGTATAACCTGAGATCCTTCTATCTTTTCATTCAACTTTGATGAAGAGTTCTGCAATACAGGTGGTCCTCGACTTATGACCACAATTGGGACCAGAAGTTCCATTGCTAAGTGATGTAGTCATAAAGCGAGACATCACATGATTTAATCGCTTAGCAATGACAATCCCAGCATGCCCTGTTGCCATCATTAAGCGAATTCCACTGGTCGTTAACCAAGGACCCACCCCAATTCAAGCCATTCTGGGCTTGGTCCCTCCCAGCCCTGAGCCTCAGTAAGGTAAGGGACTGACTCCAACCCCACCCACCCACCCATCTTCCCCCAATCTCTGCCCTTTTGGCCGCCCTGCACCCTGCCTTGCAGGGTGGCAAGCAGTCCCAGAACCATGTGGCCATGCCCCCGGGGAAACCGCAGCCGCCCCAGCCCAGTCCCAGCTGCAATCACCCTCACCAGACAGCACTCCAAGACCCTTGCCACCCTGTGCTCTGCCGCCCCAGCTGACATTTCCATCTTCTTGCTTCCACTACTGATGAGGTGTGTCCAGCCTGGCTGGGCTGGGTTTCATGCTGTGCTGCAACTCAGGGGCTGCTTTT